TTTTCCAACAAAATATCTAGCTTTTCTTTTGTAGAACCGTCATGTTTAGATTTTTGTTATTATTTCTCATGCCTCTTCCGGCGAAACGTGCTGCACAGTGTCGAAACTTGCTTACAAAGCGATATGCAAGCGATAACAGAAGTAAAAGCGGAATTGGTCTTTCTGACGATGATTCATATATGGAAGAGAAACCTGAGCCTGAAAAGGAGCCATCAAATTTTACTGAAAAAATCTGTCTAGATGATCTAGCAGCTTTATTTGATCTATGCAAGTCAAGTCCCTCAACGAAGTATCTCAGTGTGTTAATATATATGACTCTTCGGCACGTTGGAATGACTTAAGGGGCAAAGTTTAAAGATAATGGAGCTCGTCCGTATTTTGAGGGACATGAACGTCCCGATGCTCTAGAAAGTCGAAAAGACTTCGTCGATTATTCTCTCACTCGAGAGTCAAATTTTTACACTGTGAGCGATGGAGATAAACCGTTCTGGATGTTGCCTCAGCCTTTTGTCGGTCCAAAATCTATTTTAACGTGTAAGTTTCGTTATTCTCACTCGTCTGCTGAAAGTCTGCTTTTCTTTTTGCTTTAGTTCATGATGAGTCAACATTTCGTTCCGGAGAAATTGCTCCAAAGCGTTGGTTTTATGGCGAGGATGCGCCATTCTATTCGAAAGGCAAGGGTCGTTCAAATGTGATAAGCGACTTTGCGATTGCTCATGCGTCTGGACCTTTTTTTATTTTGGATCAACAAGAATACCAACGCGCCGTTCGAAAATATCCGGAATTGGATATGGTGTCAGGTGTTGATTATGTTGAAAGAACTGTTACTGCGTCTATTAATATCGGCTATGACGCCTACTTTGACAATGATACTATCCTGGGACAGTTTGAAAGATTATTCAAAATGCTGGAGTTTAAAGAAGATTTTAAAGATTATGCAATTTATTTAATTGTGGATAATGCCCGTACACACACTAAGAAATCCCACAATCTGCTTGATTTTCGAAAAAATATTGGAAAAAAGTGTCCGGTCGATAGAATTGAATACTTAGATTAGAACGGCAGACAAAAATTTTAGAATGTTTTTATCAATCAGGTCCAAATACAGGATTAAGCAAGGGATTAGTCGAAATTGTCAAAGAATTAAAAGCTTTGGACTGTGATGATGACGAGGTTGCAAAAATGAGTGTTAATGCATTACAGGCTTCGCTTGCCGATCATCCAGCCTTTAAATCAGTAAGGATACTTAAGAAAATTTGTTCCCTCGCAGAAAACCGTACCTTCACATCTATTTTGTTACAGGTTTCACGCTTGGAACAACTAGCAAGCAAATACGATGTCAATATGTCCTTTTGTCCAAAATTCCACTGTGAATTAAATGTGTGTGAAGGTTTGTGGTGTTCACAGAAACAATTTGTGCGCCGTAAAAGTGATCAAACCTACGCATATGTTGAAATTGATTGTTGAATCTAGAGATAACTTTCGTGAGAGACATATCTACGTGAAATTAGTTCGACGATTCTGGAAGTGTCTTAAAGGGTACAAAAGTGGACAGAGTTATACGGAAGTTATGAAAATGTTTTTTAGCGAAGCGTGCGAAGGAATTGTTAAAAGTCATGCAAGAATCAGTAACGCGAAAGTTTAGAGTCTGCAATATCTGTTTATTTTGTTTGCTCGTAGAACCCTTTTCCATTTGTCTACTGTGACTGATTTAGTACTTATGGCTTTGAACATGTAGAATTAAAATCTAACCGTGAACTTATCTTTTCATTTTAAGGTGCCACAAAATATTTTGCTGCTGGTTTTTGTGACGTACTCTCACAAAAGAAAGACCCAAACT